TATGATCTTAATATTGAGAAATTGGATTTGAATATGATCTTAATATTGAGAAATTGGATTTGAATGAGTAGTAGGTTGGAGGCTGTATGATTGCCTTCATAAAGCTTGAAATGTATGCCTCAAAACATATACCGGTATGATAGAGATGTTATCTGTCAGACTGATAAATTGCCCAGCAAGTTGATAGCTAAACCTAGTACTGTAGGTCTGCCAACCACTTATAAATTGTTACAGAGTAATCTTTTATTCTCCAGGTATATCTCTAGAATTATTCTCATTTTTTTCATTATATATTTCCTTGTGTTGTGTGTTTATCAGATATACAGTGAAGCTTATGGTTGATAAAGCAAGCCTGGGTCCAGCTGAAGACTTTCAAGAGCTGCTAAACTATCTTGAAGAATATGAGAATGACTGGTACATTGGTTTGGTGTCCGAAAAGGAATGGCCACAAGCTGTTTTACAAGAAACCCCATATCTTTTTTCTTTGGGGCATGACCCAAATATGGTAAGAGATTCCTGACTTTTAAGTGGATTTTTCACTAATATGCCACTTATTCCATTCTTGCATTTAATGGCAACGCTTACACATGTTTTCTGTTGTTTTTTTGCCAAGCTGGTGTTGTGATCCTAGCCCTCTTATTAGTATAGCACAAAAAATCCTTCAGAGGTGGGTGGCACAATTTATTAATGTTTTAATTATGGATTTAGATGGCATCAGTGAAGGACTTGTTTCTGGAAAAGTCTGCAAATAATTAGTTTATTAATATCAGTTCCCTAACAAAACAGTTTAAGACCTGTTTCATTTAAAAACTACCTAGAAATAAATCCAAAGCTGATTGTGACATTCCTTCCTGTGGAATCCTGTTAGAGAAAAGCTGTGCGTTTGTGTCATTTCCAAAGTTCAGAATTTGCCTTTACCATTGGTATCCACTTGCTTTGTTTTCAGAAAATATATTAAGTCATGTTTTAGACATCTTTTTAGGATTTAAGGTTTCATTGCATGAATATTGTTCAGTTAATTCCTGTACGTAATCTTTTAAAACAGAAATGCATTTTTTTTTTCTTGGCTGAGGACTTTATATTTTGGAGAGCTGCCTTTTTTAAAAAAATATGGGGTCATGACATACAGGTAGTTCTTTAAAGACAATTCAGACTGGAATTTCCATCACTAAGCAAAGTAGCCACTAGGGATTCACCCGATTTTATGGCCATTTTGCCAAAGTTGTGAAGCGAATCATACAGTTCACTTTGTTTGTCCCTGTGAAAGGTTTCAAATGACATCACGCAACCTCAAGATCTGCAGCCATCGTAAATATATGCCAGGTGCCCAGTTTTGATTATATGACCATGGAGATGCTGCAATGGTTGTGAGTGTGAGGCCCAATCATAAATCAGTTTTTTCAGTATCATTGTAACTTCGAACAATTAAATGAATAGTTGCAAATGGAGGACTACCTGTACTAAAATGGATTATAGGCGTGTAATATGACCACTCTCTAACCATATTTTAACATCACCATCTCTATTATAATTAAAATTGCAATTTGATAACCATTTTTAGAGACCCCCATTTCTGTGTGTGGCCTGGAGCCTCAAACTGATCATCTCTGTGAAAAGAAGCATGTAACAATAATTTGAGAGCAAAGGTTAAAATGACTGACATAGACAGAAGGTATGCATACAAAGAAAACAAAAAAACCCAAAACTTTTAAAGAGTAACACAAAATCTTAGAGGCTCACCAGCTTCCGTACTGAAAGCCTGGACAATAGCCCAGTTTTAGTGCCTTTCAGATCATCATCAGGGTAAGAGCCATGCAGCGTTCCAAGGGGATACAGATAGTCCTCAACTTATGACTACAATTGAACCCAAAATGTATGCTGCTAAGTGAGAAATTTGTTAAGGGAATTTTGCCTGATTTTATGATTTTTCTTATTACATTTGGTAAATGAATAACTGCTGTTGTTAAATTAGTAACACAGTTGTTAAGTGAATCTGGCTTCCCCATTATGACTTTGCTTATTAGGTCGCAAAAGGTAATCACATGGCCTTGGGACATAGAAATGGTCATAAATATGAACTAAGCATGTGAATTTTGATCACAATATCATGGGGCTGCTGTAAGGATTGTGTGAAAAATGGTCGTAAGTCACTTTTTTCAGTGCTGTTGTAACTTTGAATGGCCACGAAGTGAATTGTTGTAAGTAGAGAACTACCTGTACCAGAGGCACTGTGACCTGGAAAACACATGACATTTTTTAATAGAAGCACCAACTGAGTCTGCTGAATTGTACTGGTTGAAATTCAGAGTCTTCTTCCACTAACCCATACATTTAAAGGACACAGCTTAAATTGGTCTAGTCCAACCATATCTTGATCCAACAGTTTTCGCAATATCCATGGCCCAGATTTTCCTTAGTGAAGAAAAATAAAATCTGACTTCTCTGCAGTGTTCAAAGACAAGTCGACGTTTTGTACTTATCTTTATTTTTCAGGGAGTTTATACTGGCAGGATACTCACACTTCAGGAATTCCTAGTACAAGCGGGAAAACTGAACGACGAAGCTGTCAGAGGACAGTGGGGGAACCTCTCTTGGGAACTGCTGTATGCCACAAATGATGATGAGGAGCGCTATAGCATCCAAGCACACCCTGTACTCCTGAGGAACCTGACCATACAAGCAGCAGACCCTCCCCTTGGCTATCCTATTTATTCCTCTGAACCTCTTCATCTGACTTTCTTGTAGTTCCCAAAATGAAGCCAATTCATTCCTTCACTGAAAATTGGGTGGAATGGGGGCACTTCTTTGGTGAGGGGTTTTAAGCAGATGCTTTTTAGCATCAGGTGACAATGGGAAAAGATTTAATCCAGGCAATAAGATAATTATGTGTTTTAATGTTGTGTATTGTATGCATTTTTATATAAAATCCCTCAAATCATTACCAATACTGTATTGACAAGTACCTTTCAAAGGGGTGTAAGTTTATATACCTTAAACCACAGATAAGTATTTTACTGTAAGACGGAGTCTATATTTATGATTGTTATAGCATAAGTTTATTTTTTTTTCATCTGCTAAATCATACATTTGTATTATGAAAGGGATACTTGAAAAATATTTAATGCCTGTTCAATTTGGAAAAAAAAAGCTTTGGTTAAGAATTACAAATCGAATATTGGGGGAAAGAGATATCCTGGTTCAATAAGATGGAAGTTTCCAGCATCATTGGGCAACCACAAGCACAGAGACTTGTAATCATGCTCCTACTTACAAACAAATCCTATTTACTAATGAGGAAAAAATGGAGGCCAACAGAAGTTATGAGGATACACAACAAAGCAGAAAGCCAAGTCACAATGGGAGACAGATCAGCCATAAAGTTTGGGGTTGTCAGGGGCTTGACCAAGCAGATTTACCATCATTGGGCTATACTGCTCACATGAGAGGTATTGTAAAATCTGTATTTAGTGTCTTGTCACAGTGACAAAGCATTCAGTTCATCAGCAGTTGGTAGAACTATAAATCATACAGTGTAACTCCAAGAATTGACACTGGCTTTTTAGTACTTAATTGTTGAGTTGGAGATAGCAGATAAAAGTTTTAATTCTCCCAAGTTATGAAGCTATCTTATGAAAAACTCAAATGGAGCATGTTTCGGAGAGAAAAGGTTTGAAAAGTATTGACTGAGCTCATATATTGTAAAAAGCTATTTACTAAGAGAGCAGAATCATAATGGTGATTGACCAGAATGTGGCTGGGTCTTCTTTGTGTCCCTTTGCCATTCATTTCCCATCCCCAGTCCTTCTCTTGACTGGCACCAAAAATGTTGCTGTTTTTGCATTTTGAAAGGGAGGGGTTTAATTGGCTAAAATAAGCTGTTTAATAAGCATTACAGAGGCTTAAGGCACCCATGGAACTCTTGAAAATGGATCCTGGCCAATTCACTTTAGGAATACAGTCCCTAGAATACTATGAAAAGTTTGTGTGGCTCTGAAGCCAATGAAACTTACACATTCCTGCAGTAGGTTATAACCAAACGTTATTATAGGCTGGTTATATAAACCCAGCCAGGGTTGGGAGAAAGACAGATTTGAGTCATCATCTTGGTATATATGTTAAAAAGCCAACAAGTGAAGGAACTTTCTTTGGGTAGCCATCTCATGTTGCAAAGCCAGAAACTTTATACAGGTACATCCATCTTGTTGCACATTTTTGCATCATTTTTTGCCAAAGTATTTGTAAAAGCAAATCATAAACTTTTCAGGCAGAGGTTCCTCTCTTTTCCTTATGCTGGTTCATGTTTGAAGGAATGTTTGGCTGCTCCTTTTCCTTATAAAGACTTTTTGTAATAAGAAACATCAGCATCCTATAAGAAACAATACAAGCAACTTAGGCAAGGCTAATTAAATAAAGTAAGCAAGACACTTAGAATGCTTCAGTCACAGAAAAAGCAAACAATAAGTTCCATTAACATACAATTCCCACTCAACTATTCACTTTAATACAACATAAAATTGCTAAAACGTATAATCCATACTAAAGTAGTGAGTTGCAACATTTTAAGGCTTAGTTAATAAAATACACCTAGGACATTTTTTTAAACTTTTGAATATGAAATCTTGAATCTACAGCATTTCATTAAATAAAACATTTGTGTCTGGAATTAAAGCATGTTAAAAAATCCTATGATGGAAGAGTCACACCTGGTTTTAATGCCCTATTTCACATCTTGGTTCTGATAAGCTATGAACTTGGCTTTGGAAATTTCCATAATTTACATTGAGCCAACGAAAAATACCTGGGAAATCTGGTTTGCTTTGATTCTGGAGTTGTATCAAGAAAGCATTCAGACTGTAACAAACCATAATAATTTTAGTTCTTGGGAAGAACTCAGTGCATATGATAGAAAGACTGATGGTTTGACCTGTAACAGCTCCTGATTATATTCTTCTGTCACATCCACAGCTAAAAGAAAAGCAAAACCTCCCACCACTAGGAAGTTAGGGAACCTCTGATGCTTTACAGAATAAATACCCAGAAATGTGGGCTGTTCTCTCTCTTGCGTTTTGCAAGTTTAAGGGGAAAACTGCATAAAGACCCAAGAAGCTAATTGTATCCCACAAACCCTCAACTCTTCCAAATATTAGATTAACTGGATCACAGCCCCAAGCATTGTTAAAACGCAGTCCCTTGTATGTTGGGCAAAACAAATGATACATACAGCTTTCAGACTGTGTACCTAATATTCAAAATAGGAACCTTTGTGTTTGGCTTCCTATCGAGGTCCAGCCCAAAACAAGAAGGCATGTACATTATATCATGCAGGTATTAGAATTGTAGGAACAAATAAAAGTATGAACAAAAGAGAGATGGAATTTAAAAATCAAGGTGGCAGACACAGCTGCAATTAAAGTGCATTGTTTTTAACTATGGATGTCCCTGCTAAAAAAAAATAGAGCTTCAGGCACCCCTAAAGTGTATATAGAGCCAAAATCTATATATCTATATTCTTTCAAGGAGACTTAAATCTGGAGATGTAAATGTGGCATTTTGCATAACATACAACCTTCTCAGATTTAAACCTACTCAATTAAATAATATCAGGATAGGAAAAAGATTCTATTTGAAGAACATACCACTCCACTCTTGAAATTCTCTATCCGCTTCTTTCCCATGCGGTTCAATAGCCACCATGCCCAAGTGGGAAAATATTGCCACATGTAACAAACTGCCAAGTAGGGATGGTCACTGATCCAGGCTTCCTTCACATCATTAGCCATGCTAACCAGGGTTAAGCGAACACAGCGGTGAGTTGTCATTTTGTGAGATTGGTCCCCAACGTTTTGATTAACCTGGTAATGGGAATGGTACACAACAGAAAATTAGAGAAAATCAGAATGTGTTACAAGTATGGCTTACTAGGCAAATTAATTTCTGTGCCCCTCCTTAAAAAATTAGCTGCTTGACATTACATAGCTTTTAATGAAGCTCTAATGAAGATTCCCTCCTCCCCTTCGCCATCATAAGGAAATCAAAAACAAAATCATTACAATAGCAGAACATTTCAAGTTGCACATGAAAGCAGATTTGCTTTTAAAAGAATGCCAGTGTGCCATTGGTTGAATTCCATGGGCATCCTAACTTTCCTAATTCTGCACATGTCTCTAGGCAGATAAAATGATGTTCTTAGCAAATAATTGCAATTGTTAGGCACTGTCATCAGCAATCAAGGACAGGGCAATAATTAACCAGTGAGGATTTCATTGCTTTTTATTCTTAACTCTTTTAACAGTCCAGAGTTCATTGTCCTTTAAACCATTTCAGTCAGTTTAGCAGTCAATGCCCTAGTCTAGAAAGCAAGAGACTGTGAGTTCCAGACCCTTTTTAGGCATGAAAGTCAGCCTGGTGACCTTGGGCCCCCAGGTCCCTCTTTTAGCCCAACTCACCTCACAGGGTCATTGTGGAGAAAATAGGAGGAGGAGGGACCGTTAGGTATGTTCACCAGCTTGGGTTATTTGTAGAAATAATAAAGGGAAGATAAAAAATAAATAAATAAAATTCCTACCTTTGAAATTTCTTCAGTAAAGACATTTTGGATGATCTGTGACTGGACAGGCCCTGGACAGATATTAATAATACTTATCTCGGGATAATCGGTAAACTCAGGCCGAAGAGAGTTAAAGAAGCCCTAAGAAAGAACAGAAAGAACTTAATAGAAGGGTCTCCCCAACCATGAACAGAATAAACTTATCATGTGCCTCAAAGATTGTAACTACATACAGATGCAGTTATAAACACAACCTACAATGTTGCAAAGTTTTTGTTATCTACTTTCAAGGTTTCAGATCCATAATACCTTTTAAAGGTGGGTTGTTATATAACCGCTTAGAGAGGGCTGTAAAGCACTATAAAGCAGTATGTAAGTCTAAATGCTATTGCTATAAGCTTATCTGTGTTTTATCTATTTGGCTTCTCCATTTTTCTTTATCTATTTCAGGGGTGTCAAACTCAAGGGCCGGGGGGCAGATCTGGCCCACGGGGTGCTTAGATCTGGCCCATGGGGTCACCCTGGAAACAGCGAAAGACAGGCCCACAGTGTCTCTGCCAGAGAAAACAGAGCTCAGGAGAGTTATGGTGTCCGATCTGCCTAGTTCGGCTTGGGGACCTCACAGCCATCCCACCATAAAAAAAGGGGCAGGATGAAAGGGGGAAGGATTAAAGAGCAATTAAGTTTTGTGTGTATGTGATAGGAAATTGGGGGGGGGGGGAATGACAGGTGAGAAGGACCAGAGTAGCTGGATCCTATTTATACCGGCATCTGATGGCCAGGCACCCTGAAATATATGCTGATTAACACCTCCCCACAACACCTCAGAGTTCTCAAAACATTTTAGCAGGCTCCCTTGGACTGGAAACTGACAGGTCATGGGAGGAGGGATGGGCTGGGGGCAAACCTACATCTTATTTTTACATCCAGTGAGTGTGGCAATTTGAGGGCTAGCTTGGCTTTACTGCAGTCAACACTCCTAGTAAAAGAATGCTTTACTTTAATCAAATGGAATCAAAGGCTTTTCTTTCCCAAGTGATCAGATTGGGACAGGCCTGACACATGCAAAAATAAACAAATATGATCATACCACAATTTTTTGTATATATTTTATTTTCACAATATGAACAACTTCCCAGATAAGTGGGGCCCATAGCCCGTCCACTTGGGACCAGGGAAGCTGCCACCATCACTGCCACAGCGGTGGCCACAAGTGCTTAAGCCATCAGGGCTGAGTTCCTCTCTGGAAACTGAGGCTGGCTGGACAGTGTTGGCCTCTGAATTGCAAGGGCATAACTGGCAAAGCTCCTTCCGGGAGGCTTCCCTGCTCCCGAGTGGACAGGCTATGGGCACCACTTCAAAAAGCCCCATAGATGCCCAAATGAAGCTTCTAGACTAGGCATGGAAAAGCATTTGCATGCCTTTCGAAACAAGGTTTTGGGACCAAAACCACGTTGCTTCAAGTCTCTCACTGACGGGCGAACCCAAACAGGAAGCTTCTGGGGGCCATGATGACATGTGACTTCAGCCACCCATCCCCGTTCGCAGAGAATGGGTGCTGAAGTTCTGCGAGATCGGGGCATTCAGATGTTTCCAGTTTGTGTTTGCATGCCAATGGCAGGCTTGAAGCAACGTGGTTTCATTCCCAATGCCTTCCGTTCGGCATGCACGAGCCTGGAAACCTCTGAAGAAGATCCACCAAGGCTGCCTGCCACTCCAGAAGTGGCAGGCAGCCTCGTTGAATCAGAGAAGCTGAGCAGGGCACACTCTTCCTACTCTCTCTGCTCTCGCCGGGAGCAGGCAAAGAAACAGGCTGGAGAAGACACCTCGCTAGATCCTTGAAGGTAAGGGAGTCTCCACAGGCCTGCCTGTGGAGAACTGGCTGTGGGGGAGTGGGGGAGGAGGAATAGGCATGGCGAATGTTGCAGTGTATCTGCAGTTGTTCGTAAGGGTGAACGACTGCTGCGATCCTGCAACATCCGTAACCTTGGAATTATGTCGTGTTTGGGGGGGGTTATGTGTTGTAAGTGCTTAGGGGTTAACTGTCATAACTCAGGGATTACCTGTATTGGGGTCTCTTCTCTTAGCCAAATTTTCATGGCCTAGCACAGTAGTCACCAACTGGTGGGCCATGAAAATTTTTTGGTGGTCCGCAGAGAAATGGCGCCCGAAAGTAATTAATCTGGGCTGCACGAGAAAACAAGGCTGCTTCGCCCACATGACCTGCCCACCTGCTGACTCCCACCCTTTAGCCAAGCGCAAACCTAACCTTGAGACTGAGTAGACTAGCAAGCCTTAATATTACTACAGGGCCTTTGAAACATCAACAAATTCTCTAGTTACAATTGCTACTCTACATAATCCTAGAACATAACATTCCTGGCATCCTGCAAATATGGAATTCCAGTTTCACGAACGCTGGTTGGGGAACTTCTTGGAGCTGTACTCCCAACACATTCTGGGAACCTCCCTTGACCAAAGCAGCTCGAAAGAGACTTACCTGCAAAGCATGTTTGCTGGCACAATAGCCAGTTGCTAAGGGAGCTCCCATGATACCCATGACGCTGCTCATCGTGACAATCTTTCCCTGCTTCCTTTGGATCATGTGGTCCAGGACAAATTTAGTTAAGGAGATAGTGCCCAGATAGTTGAGTTCCATTATAGCATTATATACATTAACACTTGTATCTACGAAAAGAGAACGCTGAGAACGTCCACCGTTGTTCACCAAAATGTCGATCTTTTGTAAGAAAGGAAATGAAGGAAAAATTCGTTATACTACGGCTTCTTGTCTGCATCAAGAACTGAGGTTACTATAGACTCAGAACGCAGCTAGACCTCAAATAACTGTCTCTGTTTGAATTTCTGCAGCACCAGCTCATTATTCTCTTTCAACATCACTGTCTGGGATATATGAAAGGGCTTCTTACATATATGTCTGCATTCTCATGCTCCCTCTTGGGTACACTGACTCCTTTTTAAAAGGGTAACTGTATTCCACATTAAAGCAAAATGATCCTGCCATGCCAGGTTTCATCCCAATACAAATTGTGTGTTTCCTACCCTGCTCTGCTTCTTTCTCTGTCCCTCTGTCCCTCCGTCCTCTCTCTCTCTAAAAAAAAAAAAATGAAACTTACCCGCCCAAAATGCTGAAGGACTGTTTTTGTGGCTGATTCATGGGATCCCCTGTCAGTCAAATCAAGTGGCAAAATGAGGATATCTTTATCACTTAGGCTGCTGATCTCTAAAGGGAAAATGATAAAAAAACAAAATGTCTTGTAGAAATAATGGATCTTTCCTCCATCCCGCCTCATAAACACAACTCAACATGCAGAAAGGGGTACCCAAAGTTCTCCTCTCCTCCCTCCCCTTTGATTTCAATTTTTCACACACTCCTGACCCTTCGTGGTCTGATGGGCATCATTTGGCCAGTAAGTGCTTCTTTGGAATTCTTTTAAGTTTGTCATTTGTGACTGTATTTAGTCCACTTATTTTCTATTGGCTCTGTTTTCCAATTTTATTCTACCTATCTGAACTGTCTCTCCAATGACTTGTCTTTGCATAGCGCACCCATTGTTTAAACTCAGGTTTCAATATTTGTGTTCCTAGCCAACACCTCTTTGGTAGTGCATGATCTGTACTTCCTGCAACTCAAGATATTCTCACACATCTTTATAAAACATTGTTGTTCCCTTTGAGCTACAGTTGGCCCCCACTCTGTTGCTTTTCCGAAGGCCCTAAAAGCATGGCTTTGTTAGAGGACCTGGGAACCATAAATAGAGACAGAGCCAATCAAATAGCAGATTTGTTTGTATTGTTGCTACCATGGGTGGTGGCAACAGTTTTTAATATATGATGGATTTTTTTAAAAAAAATTTGAAAGGTACATGGAGTCACCTATACGTGAGTTGGACGGTTATATAAATTTCTTTAATAAATAATAAGTTTTCTCTGACATAGTTTAAAAGTGCAGCTTTCACAGCCTTATGTTGCAACTTGAAAATCATGCCCTTGACCATTTGTAGCTTTTTGTTTTTCCCTAACTAATATGCCAAGTTAGCATAGTACATATTGTTACTGGAGCCCCCAGGAGTTTAATTCAAATATAAGTTTCAGCCCTTCAGAACATGCTGTCTGTTAAATCAGGATTGAGAAACCTGCATTGCTCCGATTGATTGCATGTGACCCTTGGCCTATTTTTAAAACTACCTTGCAGAAATGGATTCTGAAACACAACAAGGGATTTGTCCCTTCCCTGCTACTTGGGAGGAACTGCCTGGTGTCAGAAAACAGAAAAGATGGCACCTGAGAGAGAATATGGGCGTGTGGTCACTTCTGGCTCTTGGCCAGGCCTCTGAAGGATGTGATCCTCTCTGTGAAAAACCAAACTGTTATTCCTTAAAAAAAATTATTCAGAAGGCAAATGTAATTTCTGGAGCTGCTTATTGCCCAATAAGGGTCTGCTGAGCTGAGGATAGGAGAAACTGCAGCCCAACATGCCTGAAGGGCATGAGATTGGGGAAACTTCCCTCTTCTGCACAGCTTCATCCAAGCTTTTATATAGCCCCCACTTATCTATGAGCAGAATATAAGAGTAAGGGGGAGTTTCTACAAGCTTGTCATATTGTAATTTAAGCGAGATAAGGACAGCAGGCAGAACTGGATTTCAGTCATTCTTTACTGGCAGTGGCCTACGTCTGTGTATATGCATGCCTGGGAAGCAGAGGGTGAGGATATATAGGTCCACTCTAAGGCATATGTCTGGGAGAGAAGTGGGGGCGGGGGGGGCTTAGAATGGAAAAATCAGCAACGTGCAGAGCTGCTGTGTGTTCTTTTCTCCCATATGGATGATCAGAGGGTCTGGTGTATTTTTTCCCCTGTAGTTATATCCATCCCATTTTTGGAACTGAACTGAGCTTTTCCTTATACACCAAATGTATTTCCATTTTGTTCAGTTTTCAGAGAGTTGTCACACAGAGACGTTGGTTGAAAAAATAAAAAGTATTCTCACAAAATTCTTCAAAGTTTTAACTAGTCTCTTTTGTAAATCAGCTGGTTTCTTTTGTATGTCCAGTGCAACATCTTTTTCCAAGTCTGTCTCGAAGCCTGTGATTTTAAATTCCACTTTTGAATCAGTCTCAATCATGTCACGTAACACTTCTTCCTCTTCCACTGCAAAACCCCACAGTAATGTTCCCTGGAATATTTTTGTTTTCTACTAGAACATGCCAATCTATCCATTCTGGGGGGTTTCATAATTTTCCAGCAGTAAATTTCCTAAAACAGTGTGCATTCTTTCCTGTTCTAGAAGATTTGTTTCCAAAAAAATACAAACTACCTCTGAACAACCAAACTGGCACACTCCAGGAAAGAAACAAACTATTCCAAGGAGCACTCCATGTTCAGAATAGAGTTTTGCACATTCCTGCTTTAAAAAGCTGGACTATTTTTGCTGGAGTGTTTTAAAATTATAATTTTGAGGAAGAGAAAGGACCTCCAGGTTGGGTCCAACTTGCGTGAGTTAAACCTAGATGTTCTGTCTTCCCAGGATTTGGAGCAGGGGTGTCAAACTCAAGACTCGCGGGCTGGATCCTGCCCATTAGGATGCTTAAATCTGATTTGTGGAGCTGGCCTGGAAATAGCAAAGGACCAGCCCGTGGTAACTTTGACAGCCAAAACGGGGCGTGGGGGGTGTACATGCCCCCCCCCATGTCCTGTTTTCAGTCTAGTTAGCTTCCCGCAGCACTCTGCCAGCCAGAACGGGGCATGGGGATGCGTGAAGCCCCCCACACCTTGTTTTGGCTGGCATGGTACTGCAGGAGGCCCTCCAGGCTGCAAACGGGATATGGGGGTGCCTCACATGGCCCCACGCAACACATTTTGGCAGACAGGGTGCTGAAGGAGCCATCCATCCCATCTCCCTCCCCGGCCTGGTCAGAGAACTACAATAGCAATAGTGCTTAGACTTATATACTGTTTTATAGTGCTTTACAGCCCTCTCTAAGTGGTTTACAGAGTCAGCATATTGCCCAACAATTTGGATCCTCATTTTACCCACCTCAGAAGGATGGAAAGCTGAGTCCACCTTGAGCCTGGTGAGATTCAATCTGCCAGATTGCAGGCAGCCGGCAGGCAGCAGAAGTAGCCTGCAGTTTGGCACTCTAACCACTGCACTACCACAGCTCTTAAAATAATCTGATTTATTTCCCCCAAAGGTTGGTGACCGGCAGAACTGCACTCTAACCACTGCACCACCGAGGCTCACTGAGATCACAATGCTGATCTGACCCTTGAAGAAATCCAGTTTGACACCCCTGATTGGGAGGGAATGTTTAGGTTTCCTTTCTCTTCCTCTCAGTGAGTTTTAAAGCTTACTCTGCTAGTTTCATATGTCACTTCAATAGCAGCAGAATGTGGTGCACCAACATGCCAGGGAGATATTGTGGGGTGTGACTTGACAACCTGTGGTTTCAGAGCAACTTATTTGGAAGCAGATCTGCAAGGCTCTCCCTCTTTCACAATGAAATCAAAAAAGACATAAGATGATTTCACAGCTCTGAGCACTGAATTTTAAATGATAAATCTGAAAGTTAATGCTGTATGTTTTATCTGAGGTTTATGATTTTTGTTGGGTTTTTTTTTAAACTAAAACTCCAGTGATTTTGAAATTCTATAGATTCCTCTGCCCTCTGCTTCTAACAACAACACATTAGAATTCAAGTCATGGATTACATATGATGGCATCTGTTAATGATTAAATCACTTGCCATAAGTCAAACAAAGATAATTAATCTGGTGTCTTTCAGGAGCTAAGCTAATATAATGTGCAAAGCACCAAAACCTTCCTCTCTGCCCCACTTGGCTATATATCAAAAAAGGGAAGGAAACCTGGATAAGCTAAACACCTAGGCAACTACAGCCTAGCTCAACCAGCCTAAGGCATAAACAGTATCAATGACAAAATAATCTTATTGCCAATTAGCTGTTCAGTGATCATTCAATTTTTCCTAATCTCGTCAGCATGATACCTCCTGTAATTGCCAAGTTTCATTAGCACCAGTATCAAAATGGTTTGCTGTTGCTTCCTTCCGGAATATTTCTTATTTTCTTTCTTACTGCCTTAGTTTTTGGGTAGCATCCCAACTGAATACTAGACCAGTTTACTTAACCAGGCAAGGTCAGACAGATGCTGCAGAAACCTAACTGGAATTAGCACAGCACTTAATATAAATATGCCAAAAGAGGCACACTAATTTTTGTTCTGTAATTGTATTTGCAATTCTTGCAACCTTGTTAAAGGAAATTGCACACACAGACTTCTAGAATAGTCCCTACCAAGGCACTTCTTTTTCACCCTCTCCAATTCGTTTTCTCTTCTTGCTGACAACACAAGCCATGAGCCAATCTTGGCCAGCTGGTAGGCCAACTCTTCTCCAATTCCGCTGGAGGCACCAGTCACCCAGACAACTTTCCTAGGCAGCTCCTTTTCTGGGGAAGAAAAAAAAAACAGCAAAGTAGATGACAAGAATATGTGTCAAGCACAGAATATTAGGAGTCCAGGCAGTACAAGTGAATATAGGTTTATTGCATGCTAATGCTCTCTACAGGAATATGAACTACTAATGGTCAAGGCAAATTGGTGATAGATAAAAATCAATGGAATTCATTTGGATCTCTTGTGGACATGAAGGGACTTGAGACTTATGGCATGTTTGCCCCTTCCCTCGGGTTCAGCAAGGTCATGATGCAGGTTTAAAATACAATATCAATGTTAAACCAAAGATAGCAGTATCTTAAAACATTCGAAGACTAATAAATGTTTATTTATTTATTTATTTTATTTTGTATTACATCATACCTTTTTCTGATTAAACTCCACAAAATCTCAACATCATAAGTAGATTTCTGTTAAAGGGTCAATGTTCTTTCTTGTCTTGAACTTACTTAGAGGATGCTGAGGCCAGTTCATCATTAGGCAGCAGAAGAACGTGAACTCTTACGCAAACGATCAAACTACAAGGTAGTTCACAGAAAGCAATCTTCCTAAGGACATCATTGGCTTTTTAACTTTGTACACTTTGGGCAAACATAAATCCCCAAGGACTTTGCTGGGTCTTTCAAAATTTGCAGACAACAAAGCAAACAAGTAAGCCTGCCAAATATATGTCTACATCTTTAGCTACAAGACACTAGACATGCATATGCTCTGGAATACATAGCTTTATTCTGAAAACAGAAGGCTATCTGGAGTTTTCACAGCATATAATAGTGAAAATCTTGTTTTTGCTATTGCTCTACACAGGATATAATGAAGATTTGTTTCGTTTTAAACAAAGGTAGAAACAAGAAAAAAAAAAGGTTATGCTGGATCAAGCCACAGACCTATCGGTTCTGAAGTTTCCCACAATGGTGATTAAATGCCAATGGGAAATCCCCATGCATTCCATGAATGAAATAGCATTCTGATATTCACAATGATATACTGAAGTTAATATATTACTATTTAACTGCAGGTATTATTTATTTATTACATTTCTATGCCACCCATCTCAGTGATGCAGCGACTCTAGGAGGCTTACAATATAATAATAACTAAAAAAGTGCAAGGATAGAATAGAATAGAATAGAATAGAATAGAATAGAATAGAATAGAATAGAATAGAATAGAATAGAATA